GCGAGTGGGAGGTCCCTGCCGCGTGACGTTGGCCCACTGCCTTTCTCCAGCAGGGTCTCCGTGCCTCCCTCCCTCCCTCTGTGGTCAGTGGGTGAGAGGGGGGAGACGAGTCGCAGCGAACAGAGAAGCCGCCGGTAAATGACGCTCATACCTTTACTCTTCAATCATTACGCATGCCTTTTGTGTTACACGTCCGGCTGCTCTTTATTCTCCCTTTTCCCCTCCTTCTCCTCTCTAGTCATCATCATCCTCCTCCTGCTGCTGCTGTCGCTTCGGTCCTGTCATCGCAGCCCACCCCACCCCCCCTCACCCGCCTCTGGAAGTACAGCCAGCCTCCGGTCCTGGAGCGTCGGGCAGACAGAGCCGCTTCCCAGCCTCTCTCTTTTTTTTCTTCTTCTTCCTTTGCAATCTGAATGACGGGCGGACGGTTTGACTTCGACGACGGCGGCACTTACTGCGGGGGGTGGGAGGATGGCAAAGCCCACGGACACGGCATCTGCACCGGACCCAAGGGCCAGGGCGAGTACGCCGGGTCCTGGTCGCACGGCTTCGAGATAGTCGGCGTGTACACCTGGCCCAGCGGGAACACCTACAAGGGCTACTGGTCCCAGGGGAAGCGGCACGGGCTCGGGGTTGAGAATAAAGGCAGGTGGGTGTACCGCGGGGAGTGGAGCCACGGCTTCAAGGGGCGCTACGGGGTCCGGCAGAGCCACAACACACCTGCCAGGTACGAAGGGACCTGGAGCAACGGGCTGCAGGATGGATACGGGGTTGAAACCTACTGCGATGGCGGTAAGAAGCCAGCAGCGTGTGTTCCAGGTTCTGTTATGTAGCCTGTGTGTGGGATGCTCATTCTCTGACAGGACTACTCAAAGAAATCACTCAGAGGGCCACGGTTTCTGAAATCCAACGGGCTCTGGTCCAAACATCWAGCAATTCTTCTCATTACATAAATTGAATAAATTTAGTTTTATTYTTGGCAGGTGGACTAAGTTGTATAGCCCTGTCATTATTCATCTATACAACAGCATCACCTCTCTGGTGGAAATAGCTGTCAATTCAGATTTTATAAAACTATTTTCCCCAGATTTTTTTTCTGATTTTTAATCCCTTTTTTTAATTAACTCCTCATTGGTGGACTGGACAGAGCTCACCTGCAGGCCAAATTATGGCCCCGGGGCTGCCAGTTGACTAGCCCTKCTTTCAAATATGAGCACGAAACTGCAACAGGGTGATATTTTGTTTTATTGCATGCTCTTAAATGGCTAGGCCGGATGGTTGTTTGTTTGTTTTTGTCTTTGCATGTATCTGTGTGTGTACTTGTCTGTTAGCAAAATGTCTCATGAACCACTCTTTCAGAAAATAATGGTTGGATGTCCCTCTACATCTGTTTAACGTTTTGGGGCCAGTTCAATTAACGATGGCTATCAAAYCTAAGTGAACTTTGAACTCAAAACACAACTAGAATTCAGTCAACTTTAGAGAGATTTTGTTCAGTTTTGTTGTGTTTGTAGCTGAATAACAATGACAATACTTAATTAGGCACACAAAACCTTAACTTAAAMCCTACCTGTTGGAGTTGACCTAAGTTTYGATGTGGTAGTAACAGRGTCACTCTCGCACGAGATTGCGCTATTTTTTTCTAGGCTTGACCAGAACGCCTACAATTATCTCATTTYGCCAAATAAGATGATTCTAGTTGAAAGCTCGGGCACAAATAGCAGCAGGCAATATTCATTCCTTAAAGGAGCACTAGGCCTTTTTTTTTTATTATTTCTATGGCGCATCTCGTCTTTGGTAACCACCAGCTGCTTGTTGTCAAATGACAAGTGGGAGGAGTGAGAGTCCTCCTCAGTGGCACTGTGCCTGATGAAGAGGGAGTTTGGAAATCAAAGTAAATCAGACCCATTTATAGCTCAGTGTGGTCAGAGCATCACCAGCTTTTTCTCTCGTCTTCATATTTAAGAGCTCGGGCGAAATGTCCCACGTGTGAAATATAAAGTCACCTAGGAGGCAGTGCCCGTTTGTACAAGTGGATTTCCTGCTTCCTGATAACTTAATGCAGACACGTTCAGGGAGCTGATCTAAGCATTCAGCCATTTTAAGTCCATCCTCCTGGATATGCTGACAGCGAGAGGACTAGTGAGACCAGATCCTGGGCAAAATGAAGTAATAAAACATCCAAGTCTCCTGCCGATGCCTCTAACCGAGGCCCTTATGATGCAGAATAAACGCCTCGCATATGATGGTTACAGATTGCAGGGGGCTTGGCAAATCAGCTGATCCTAGAGGATCTCCTCCACATCTGGCTGTCTGGCTCTGCCACATCCTGATAACTTGATCTGCAGGGTCACCAAATTGAACTGCTGCTTGTTAATCTTACTTTGTTTATCCATCTGAATTCCCGCCTAAGCTAGCGTGTAATTTTTTTTCCCCCTTTCCCTTTATGTTCATTGTTTTATTTAGTTGTTTTTTTTCTAAATGAGATCATATTAACAAGCCCTTCTTAGTGTGAGGATACAGACTGCAAGATGCTACAGTAAAGAGCAGCAACRTGCTTGTTGGTCTCAGCAGCAACAAATGTGATGAATGAAGTTTTCTCTTCATTAAGTCACTCTGTGGTCAGAAAGAGAGATGGATATTAGTGAACTTGTCTCAAAATAGACTTCTAGCTCAGAGATTCACATTCATCCCAAATGACTATTAATTAATCAAATGATGGTGATTAAGTTACCTACACTCATTGTTACAGTTCTGAAGAGAAAGCATTTTATTACATGATGTAGATTGCACCCTGTCACCTCTTCATGGCATCTTTGTGAGTCTTTTCGTTGTTTTGGGGGGTTTAAACGGTTTCACTTAGTTTTTAATTTTTAAAAATCTGACAAATAAAAGTAAATCCTGTAAAGTTTTACAAAGACAAGCTATTGTTTCGTAGCATTTAAAGAGAAAAATCAGATCTTTTGAAGTGAGGTTCTGTAAAAAGGTTATGCACAATAAATATCTTACCTGTTGTAGATAGCTTTTTGAATGACTTTGCTTTGGAAAGACACACTTTAATTGAGAACAAGTTCAACAAAAAAAAGTATTTTAAAAACTAATTTAGTTCATGCAAATGTTTTTGTACAATATATACTGTAGTTTATAGCCTATTTTGCATTATTTGATCATGATATTCCAGCTGGGAGTTAGCCTGGCTAAATCCAACCCCTTGTCATTCGCTTTGCTTTATACAGAGGGTCTGGACTCTCGGCTATAGAGAAGTGATTCTTGCTGGAGGCGTGGCCTCTGCTAAAGTTTAAAATGATTGGATCGGTTGGCCGTGACGTATGTGTGCGCCAGCTCCACTGTGAAGGAGGCTAAGCTAAGACGCTAACCGGAAATCGCGTGTGCTGTAAACAACCCTACTGAGAGGAGAGAAGTAGCGAGCCCAACGAGACGACTGTAAATGAGAGCTGCTGCTTTGTCAGACAAATTTAATTTAATTTGGAAGCCTTATCAACACGGACTGGCTTCATTCACTTCCTCCACTGCCTTATGCTAAAATAACTAGCAGACACCGCGCAGAAGATCGACATCCTTCAAAACTCTGCCTTCTGTTTGCTGATTGGCCCAGGTAAAATAAACTACGAGCAGACACTGCGCAGAAAATCGATGTTCTGTTCTCTGATTGGCCCGGATGAAATTCTCCTGAAGAAATCCTTGTCTATGGGAGAAATCCCAGACGGAGCATTGAAGGGAAACTAGAATTGAGAGGAACTGTGTAAGAAGGCGAGGGCCAGGCTAGCTAGGAGTGTCTCAGACTGCAAAGGAAGTGCTATTGCTTGCTGCTGCTGCTATTAAAGCCTTATAGGTTTTATATTGGTTCATTCTGAGCCAATGACAATGGAAGGGTTAAAGAAAATGGTGACTAGATTAGCCACACATTTAACCAGACAAACCCATTAGAAATCACTAATATTAAGTTGTCATGTTTTTTGTGTTTCAGGTACCTTTCAAGGTCAGTGGATGGGTGGGATGCGCCATGGCTACGGTGTCCGTCAGAGTGTTCCCTACGGCATGGCCACGGTCATCCGTTCCCCCCTTCGAACGTCCATGGCCTCCCTGCGCTCCGAGCAGAGCAACGGCACGGTGCTCCACGACCTCTCCTCCCCTGCCGACACGCCCACGGGCAGCCGCGGCGGCTTCGTCCTCAACTTCCACTCGGACAGCGAGGTCGTCACCGGCAAAAAGAAGGGCCTGTTCCGCCGGGGCTCGCTGTTCGGCAGCCTCCGGCAGCTGCGCAAGTCTGACTCTCGGACCTCGATCTCCAGCAAACGCAGCTCGGCGAGAAGCGACGCCACCATGAGCCGCATCAGCTCCAGCGACGCCAACTCCACCATATCCCTCGGCGATGGCGAGCTGCCGGATGAGGACCTACCTCTGGAGGACCATGTGGACGCAACCACCACTGAGACCTACATGGGCGAGTGGAAGAACGACAAGCGGAATGGATTTGGTGTTTCAGAGAGATCCAACGGGATGAAATACGAAGGGGAGTGGCTTAACAACAAACGCCATGGTTACGGGTGCACGGTTTTCCCAGAAGGCACCAAAGAAGAAGGGAAGTACAAAAATAATGTGCTGGTGCGTGGAATAAGAAAGCAGTTGATCCCTCTTAAAAACCCCAAAACCAAAGAGAAGGTGGATCGGGCTGTGGAGGGCGCACAGAGGGCTGCGGCCATCGCCAGGAGTAAAGTGGAAATAGCAGCTTCCAGGTAAAGTTGTGTTTGGGCACATTTGTGTTCATTCATCCACCTGTGTGTGAACGCAGACACCATTTTTGTCGCCACTGTTTGACAAATTTGCGCTGATCTGCGTCTTTGTGGCGTCCTTGCATCAGGGAATAGTTAGAGTGACGACTGARGTAAGCTGTGAAAAGGATACGAAGCAATCCTGCTTCACTGATTTATATTCTAGCCTTGTAACGGCTGCGCATAAATTAGCATTCATAAACATAGCAACAAATATTCTGAAAACTCAAAAACATGGACAAGTGAGGCGATAAAACAAGCAAAACTGTTGCTAAAACCTAAAATTAGCTAAACAATACCTAAAATCTAATACCTACAAAATAATAGATGAGAGCTAAAATGATCTAAATAAATATTAAAGCTAAAAACAGCAAATGTATAGCTAAAAACAAAATTAGACAMACAACAAATTCTAACAGCTAAAATAAATAGAACAATTTATAAAACACAAGGCTAGTAAAACAGTAGCTGCAAGCTAAAAACAGCAAAACAGTAGCTGAGAGGTAAAATCAGCAAAAAGAAAAATGAGTATAAAAAAATGTAAACAAYTCTAAAACAACGAAAAGTTCTTGTGTGCCATGATAATGTTCAGACTGAGGTAAATATTTTTACCTGARTGGCTGACATAAGTAAAAGTCTGCCAAAGTAGTTAGAGAACATGCAGAAGGAACTATAAACTGGAAAACAATAACTCCAGATTTAATTACTATGTTTAAAACAGCATTTTTGTAGTTAGTTTGGTTTTCCAACCACAGACAGAACAAACATTTTATCAGTGTAWGACAGTGAGGATAAAATAAATCAACTGGGAATAAAGAAGAACAATGTTTTGAAAGAAAGAGCCAATCTAATATCCTCTTAGCGTGATACACTTCACTAATGCTCTACTCTAGAGCAACAAGAGGAAAAGCACTCAGCTGGTACAAAATGTTTATGGCAGCAAACAAGCTCCGCTGTGCTGAAGTAAGTGATCAAATTACTGGGATGGGATGTGCTGCTTACCCATCGTGTGCTGCTGGAAATCTCAAACCAATCTCCAGGCTATAATCAGGATATGTTTTTAGGAGWGCATTTGTGTTGTAAACCCTCCGAAATGGCAAGTTCTAATCTAAGCAGGTTATGTAACGCTCATTGTACAGTACAGTGCACGGCGAAGAATGCACTCGTATCGATCCAGTTCTGGTCACGTGATTTCCTGTCTTTGAATGTGGAGAGCAGCGATAATCGGGGGGTGGGGGTGGGGGGCTTCGGCGCAGCAGTCAGAGTAAAATGGATTGAAAAGTTTAAGTGGTTATCGAGTACGGCTGGAGCAGATTTGCTGAGCTAAAGCTTACAGAGGGATCTGGAATGGACAGGAATGATGGAAGAGGGAGAATAAAAAGGGCACGGAGTGGRCACGCCCACCCCTGCCACTGCTACTGGTGGTTTTACAGAACGAGGGKAGTTATCTCATCAGCCACCGGGGTGGAGCTGATGACCTCATGCTTGTGATGAGCTGATCGATAGAGAGCCGGCGTGATGCAGTGAAGTGGAGTGGAGTTCTGAGCCCGTCCGACATTCACTGTTGTTGTGTTTTCTTTGTGGAATGGACAGTGAGTCTGGACCATGTGTGTGTGGGTGTGTGTGTGTGGTTAAATGAGGCCTGTGGGCTGAGATAAGTGATTGTGCCACTGAGGCGCTTACAGAGTCCCGATGCTTCTCCCATGAATCATTTTTTTTGTTCCAGTTCAGCAGCTCAGGTATCTTGGTAACTCAGCAGTTTGTCAGAATACAGACGGTGCAATGGACCGACATGGCCTGAGATAACCAGGAGCTTCCTGGATAAACCTTCACTAAAGCAGAGCTGCTCAAATCATTGAACAGAGGCTGCAAAGAACAAAAAGACCATTAAAGGCCTAGCGTCCTTGAAGAAATGCATATACTCCATYGCCATTCATGTCGGAGTCACTTATGATGAAAAATGACAAAGCATCAAATTTATTTATAAAGCACATTTTAAAAACAAGTCGTTAGCAAAGCGCTGAACACAAGGCAAAAAAAGTCAATATAAACAGCAAACAACATAATTTAAAAGCATAAGAAAGATAAAAACACAGAAAAACAAAAATACAGGAAAAAAAATCACACGTGGTTAAAAATCAGAGAGAACAGATGTTTGTTTTTTTTAAGCGATTTAAAAACAGGAAGTGATGAGGCCTGTCTAATGTCAGAGGGCAGATCGTTGCAAAGCTTAGGAGCCACAACTGAAAAAGCCCTGTCTGAGCTTCAACCTGGTTTTCGGAATGACCAAAAGCAGCTGATCAGAAGATCTTAGTGCCCAAGCAGGAATGTACGGTTGAAGTAGATCAGCGAGATAGGAGGGGTGCAAGGCCATGTTGGCATTTATAGGTGAGCAGCAGAATTTTAGTGCTCAGGGAGCCAGTGAAGGGAGGATAAGATTGATGAAATAGACTCAAACTTATGAGTTCCTGTTAGGAACCGAGCTGCAGCGTTCTGAACAAGCTGAAGACATGAAAGGGAGACCTGACTGATCCCAACATAAAGTGCATTGCAGYAGTCTAATCAGCTAGTAATAAAAGCATGTATTATTTTCTCAAGTTGAGGTCTGGTCAACACTGGTTTGATTTTGGCTATATGTCTTAACTAAGGAAAACCTTTCTGCAAAATAGAATTGATTTGCTTGTTAAACTTCAAATCAGAGTCTAAAATCATTCCCAGATTCACAAGAGACTGCTTGAAATACAACTCAAGAGACACAAGATTTACTAGACTAGACACAATAACTTCAGTTTTCCTATCTAACAAAACATTTTCAGCCATCCAATCCTTAATGTCWTCAAGACATTTCAATAGCGACTGGATAAAGCAAGCACTATTATCAGGTTTCAAGGGCAGGTAGATCTGACAGTCATCAGCATAACAACRAAAGGACAGACCATGTTTCCTTAGAAAAGACCCTAAAGAAAGCAGTTACAAAGAGAACRGAAGTGGTCCAAGAATCGAGCCCTGTGGAACCCCACAGGAAAGAGGCACTAAAGCAGAAAAGAAGTTTCCAACATYAACACAAAARYTTCTGTCACTTAGGTAGAAACAAAACCAATTTAATGCTGCTACTGTGATCCCAACCCAGTGTTGTAAACACGATAAAAGGATACTGTGGTCAACGGTATCAGAAACCACAGTCAGGTCCAGAAGTACCAGGACCACGAACTGACCAAAGTCATTTTCTAGAAGAAAATCATTACAAACCCTCACCAGAGCTGTACAGTGCATACTGTAGTTTTATTTAAAATAACTGAGTTATGGGTAGTTTTGTTGTTGTTTTTTTAAGTTCAGTTAGCTGTCTTATCTTAAATTGGGTTAGCTCCAAAAATGAATAAATACTTGTACGTAAAAGGATTCTTGAGAGTGTGTTCAGTGGTTCATGATATTTTGGTGACAGACACACACATACAGACAATAACAAGAACATAGATGTCCTCCCTTGCCTTGTGGTGGTTAGCAATCATAATGTGCTTGTTTTGGTTTGATTGAACATCKGTACAATACTAAAACTGTCAGAGACACATACAGGAAGCTGTTTCGTGCATCCGGGTGTGCACTGTTTGACACGTGTAAATGTTTGACTGTAGTTAAAGGTTAACCAACAAGTTACTTGAAGAGCAGGTGCTTATATCTTTTCATTTATGTATTTTTCATTGAACAAAAAGACCACGTATAATTATCTAACTTAAATAGACATGTTTTTTACAACACTTAGAAACACAGACGATGTACATTTATAAATTGGTTGGACTATGAATTAGTCTAACTTTATAAAATTATAATAACAATCAGAGCAGTAAATGATGCAATTTTATTCCCAAAACCAAGTACAAAGTTCTGTGAGTGACAGAAAAACTCAGCACTAGTTTCACAATTAATTAAGTTTTGTTTTAGACTTTTAATACTTATTTTCAAATAAAAATGACATAAAGTACACTTCCATCTGTACGCATGCACTTATTCAGGGTCTAACTATTTCTGCCCACACACACACACACACACACACATGCTGACACACACAGACTGTTAAACAAACACACAAAGAGCACATGCAGTGTGTGCTAGTGTGTCAGCGGTGAGCACTGCCTAAATAAGGCAAGGCATCAGTTGGCTTATCAGCACCMGCCAGGAATATATATATACTCGTCCCAACACTGATATAGACCCCCGCCATCTCAGCCACACTACCGTTTCTCCTAAACGTGTCTGTGTGTGTTGTGAGCACGGGAAAGAGGATTCACAAAGAAAAGGAGAAACGGTCTCATCTGAAGTGTGTGTGACGTGTGTGTGTGTGTGTGTGTGTGTGTGTCCAGGGTTGTTTGTTCACCACCTGCTGTGAGGGCTGACCTCAGCCACGCATTGCCAGTCCTCATTCTTTGTAGTCAGAGTCAATTATCAGCATGTGAGCAAAATAATCTCAATCCTMCGAACATCAAGTTGAACATCACCATTCAGATTTTACTCTTTTTTTTTCAAATTAAAAGAAAAAACATCAGTCACACATACAGTAAAATGTCTGCCCCACTGTGCCTCAAATATACTCTTAACATTACTGACCTGAGCCACTGCCAGCTCGTACATATGAAAGAGCTAAAAATAAAGCTGCTGATGCAACGACACATGCAGCACAGGTTAGTTGATCAGTTTAACTACACGCTGTCAATCACTCTGCTGGACAGTGTTTTATGAAGTTGTAGTTAACAGGCCGACATGTTCAGGAAGTTCTTAGAGAAGTCATTCCTTAATTAAATAAAATAGCATTTTTAAGTAATTACTYCAGTATGAATTAGGAGAGTTTGTGTTATTCAATTAAGAACGTACTTTTTTTTTAAAAAAATCAAGTTTGACTCAGTCATCATATATTAACATCTGTGTAAAATCTAAAAATATACCCTGAGGTGAAATGTGGAATTGGATTTTAGATGTAAGGGGTRTATTTAGCTTCAGAGTTTT